AACCCTGAACCCTAAACCCTAGTTTGCGTGTGCCATAAAATGAATCCTCCGTTGTTGTAGTGGTCCCCGCTGCAGGCAGCAGTTCCTCCGTGCGCGCTATTTTTTCCTCTGCGCCTGCCCGCTGTGCAGCTTGCCCCACGACGAGCTTGCTGGCTGGGTCCTGAACTCAGGCTCTTGGGGCCATAATAATTACCTATGCTATTTTGGGGGCTCCTTATCATAGCTATAGTATTGTGGGCCCCAAAACCCTATTCTAATTATCAAGGCCTCCATGTTACTTGGTCAGAGCTTCGGGTGGGCGGGTCTTGCAGTTGTTACGGCATTCATGTTTTGAAGGGTTGGCATTTTCAGGTTTGGCCGGTGGCCCTGACATTCCCATAAATACCTCCAAGAGCGCATGGTTGCGTCGTCGACCCTAAATGTTGTCAGGATCCTTCTGAACTTGTCGAATAGGAAGCAGCTGTCGTTTTCTCCCTTTCTGGAGCCCTATACCTTAACACCGGCAACCTTAGCTCTCAGAAGTGCTTTCATATTTACGGCTCTCAGTCCTTAAGCCCTAAACCCTGCAACACTCCTTACGGATCTATAAGGGTTCTGTTGAGCGTCTTGCAAGGCTCCCATAAAGGTCCCTGGAGTGAAGGCCCCTTTCACGGGGTCCTGAAAGGGTTTGCAGCATAGGATTGGAGAAACGGGGTTGACTTGATATTGCCGTTGTCTTGCAGTGCTCTAGGTCTTTGTTAGTATTGTTGCTCAATGAATGCGGTTTAGGGTTTATAGGGGGTCTGGGTTAGCGTTACAGCACACCCGCACCGGTGCCCCGAGACCTGTGCCTGCGGCAGACGCCGCCTGAGCTGCGAGGCCTGGCAGGGCAGTGGTGCAAGGGTAGAGCCAGGAGGACACCTGTGCACAAGGCCCTCAAACCCTAAAGCGGAATCACTACTCCCTAAACCTCCACAACCCAACACTCGGAGAACGGAGGGGATATGACAGAACCAGTTCCTCAGGATTCCCTAAAGAGTAATTATCTGAAGTTTCGCTGAGTTTGCGCAATGCAGCTTAGTGTATGCACTCGTTGTGCAGCAAACCCCAGGGCCGTGACAAAGTGAACGCTTTTTCTGTGTGATTGTACACGAGACACGTCGGAGCTTTGGCTCTATGTCTTAGGGTCGTAGTCTCTAAAAAACATGCCAATCCCTAAACCCTAAGCCCCATAACCCTAAATCCTAAACCCTAAACCCTAAACCCTAAACCCTAAACCCAAACCCTGGACCCTACACCCCAAGACCCTCAGAGTTTGAGTCCCTAAGCCCTAGAAGCCTTAGACTGTGAAGTAGAGGCCTGCGCCTGTGGCGACACTTCCGGCGACTGGCCTTCAAAGGAGCACCTCAAGGCCCAGAATCCCAGAAGAGTTGATAGGGTTTCAGGTTTAGGGTTTAGGTTTTTTTTGGTTTAGGGTTTAGGGTTCAGAAGAGTTGATAAGGTTTCGGGTTTAGGGATTTGGAGTGTCGGGTTGCGGGCATTTGATAGTGGTGTCTAGGATTTCTTGTTTAGGGCTTTAAAGTTCTGGGCGTCGGGGCATTCGGGTTTAGGGTTTTAAAGGTTTGGGGTTCGGGGCGTTCGGGTTTAGGGTTTTCGGGTTTTGGGGATATTTGAGCTTTTGGATGAAGGCGTTAAGCCGATGATCGGATTTCAGTGCGTAGGACTTAGGGACTTTACGAGCAGAGTTTCTAGTTGAGGGGGAGGGTTAGGATCCAGCGACGAGGCAAAGGGCGGTGCAGCACAGTAGGCTTAAGCGCAGACTCTGGCTCAAGCAGATCCGGACGAGGGAATGCGGTTCTGGCAACTGGATCACTTGATCGCTTAGTTTTCCGGATATTTGGGGTGATTTAAAGTTGGTGGGCTGTCGGAGGTTTTAGGAATGAGAGAGACATTTCTAGACCATGCAGTGTTAGAGGAAGTTTGGATGGCCTGCTGCCGTAGGCACTGGATACGAACCCCCATGCGAAAGACACTAACCCCAGCCCAAGCCCATCCGGAAACCCTACCTACTACCGGTGCCGAAATAATTACCAATACTGTTTTGGGGGTGCCTTATAATAGTTATAGTACAATGGGCCCCAGAACCCTATTCTAATTATGAAGGTCTCTATATGAATCCTAACATGAATTTAGGTTGCGGTTTAGTGTGCAGGCTCTGGGGAATTTGGGTTTAGGGGCCACATCTTGGCGATCGAGGTGCCCCCACGGAACGGTGTGACGTGTCACAGCGGCTAGTCACGTCTGTTGGATGCCGGAGTCTTGGGTCCAGGCATCGCGCATCTTCAGCCAATCCGAACGTGCTGCGGCCCCAATAAAAAGGGCTTGAATACTCACTCGACTTAGTCAGCATGCCACCCTGTAGTCCCAAGATATACCTCCTTTGATGTTACTTTTCTTTGGGTCAACCCTAAACCCTAAACCCTAAGCCCCTAAGCCCCAAAGCCCTAAACGCCTAAACCCCTAAACCGTATACCCTAAAGCCTTCTGCCCTTCTTCATGTCAAGCTGGCTTGCCGGACGTGAGGCAACCCGGCAGTCCCACCTAGGCCTAGAGTTTTTTGGGGAATGCGTTCACCCGAGAATGTCAGGCCCAGAATCAGGTCTTGCGACGACCTTGGTACGTTTAAGATTGAAATAGACAAATACATAAGATCAATCTATTCTACACATATGCATACAGATAGACATAAACATGTACACACATACACATCCCAGTCTCATCGCTGCATCCAGTTTCCGCGATCCGCGACAGGCAGTGGATGACTTGGAGAGAAGGGTGTGCCTCAGATATGCAGTTAGGAGCCTTTGTGCCATGGTAGGGCTGTGGCGTGTAATCCTGACAAAGCTTGCCTGCCACTGCGACTTAATGCCTTTGGCTTCCATAGTTGGTCTGCGAACCCTAAACCCCAAAGCCTGAACCCTAAACCGTAAACCCTAAGCCCTAAACCTTTGAAGGAGAGGCAACCACAGAAAAGGAGCTTTGCAGTAGCTCGCGAATGTTGCCGATACAGGTGCCTAACTTAGACTGTTTAGGGTCTTTAGGGGTTTAGGGTTTAGGGATGATGGGTCTAGGTCTTTGGGCTTACCATGACCTCAAACAACCTATGTTTGAGGGTTGTTGACTCTTATTTCCTTATGAGAGTCCTTCAAAAACCATCTTTTTTCGGGGACCAGGTGGGTCTCTGGCGTTTAGGATTCTTGGGGCAGAGCCCTAAGCCTAAGTCCATTACGCTCAATGAGATTTCAGAATGACAGGGTTTAACCCGAAGCCCACATCCCCAACCGCACGCATGATTGGATGGATTTGGCAGGGTTAAACCGCACGAGCCACAGGGTTTTGGGTTTAGGGTTCAGGGGTTAAGCGGTTTAGGGTTTGGAATTCAGGGGTTAGGGTTGCAACAGGATAGAGGTCAGAATAGTCCGCAACAAAATTTTGTCTGAGAGTCCCTATATAATCATAGCGTGATATACTTATTCCAAAGCCCTGTTCTAGTCATTAAGGACCCTATGGCAATTAAACCCTGAGCTCTCAAACCTGTAGAAGTAGAAATCTTAAAAGCCTAAACCCTAAACCCTAAACCCTAAACCCTAAACCCTAAAGTTTAAGCCCCAAAGGATCCTGCGTAGTATTCGGGAGACCCCTTAAAGGGGCCCGTCTGAACCCGACTTCTGGATCTCTTAAAAAGGGACCTTATTGAGAGGGTCTACATCCCAAAGGGTCCCCCTAATCCAAACTCCCAAAGGAATAGCCTAAACCCTAAACCCTAAACCCTAAACCCTAAACCCTAAACCCTTAAAGGAATAGACGCAGCCGGGTCTTTCCCAGGGCTGTGCTTGCCGCAACATGCGGCGAGAAGCTGCAGGGCCTTGAGGAGGTGAAAGAAGTTTGCAGGCCGGCTTGGGGTTTAAGGGTGTAGGGTTTATAGGGTTTATATGGTTTATAGGGTTTAGGGTTTAGGGTTTAGGGTCAAGGTAATGAAGGTAGGGTTCGGGGCAAGCGGCTTAGGATTTAGTGTTTTGGGTTTCGGGTGTCAAGTTTCGGGTTTTGGAGCATCGCGACCACTTTTCTGGAAGGCAGCTGTCTTTAATCAAGAGCCTACCCATAGGCCCCATAGTAGTTCCTTTTTGTGGCTTATAGTCAGGATCCTATTAGGTAATCCTAAAAAGGAACTACTATGGAGCCTATGGGTAAGCCCTGAACCGAAGTTGGTGCGTTTGGGTTCGTCGAGGCTTTGCGGCCTGAGAGTTGCCACGTTCCGATGTTGTGTGTCCTTCCTTTTCAAATGCGTGGTTGTCAACCCTTTTTGGGTCCTTATTATAATACGGCACCTATTATTTAGGCTACCCCAAAAGGGACCCTAATTTTGACAACTACCCAAATGTGTTTTGCATTTGGGAGACGAGTGGTTCCGCCTTTTCGTCCTACGCGCGAGCATTGGCGAGGATGAGTAGCTGAGTCAGTGCTGCCAGCCAGCTGGATTATTTGCGTTTCCGTGCCTTTGGACCCATTTGGGTTTAGGGGTTAGGGTGTCTTGCGGCAGGAAACTACAACTGCAGTTCCACGTTGTCAGCGTGCTTCGCCGGCACTAGAACTGTGGAAGACATGCGTGCCCGAAGCCCCTGTATCATACATGAAATGTTACATGGTGTTTGTATTCCAAAGCCATTCAAGGTCTACGCCCCAGCTGTATCATATATGTGATATGCTACTTAGAAGCTTCGGATAATGCCAAGAGACTGGGAGAAGTCAATGGTTTTCTCTGAGGGCTCCAGGCCTCAGGGTTTAGGGGAAATTTCACCCACGACCCTAATCAGTCAGTTTCTTGAGGCCTCTATACCAAGATGATGTAAGAGGATGAATGTTTTTTTTGAACCAGTGCAGTGTATGTCGGGTAATTTTAAATCATTAGTGATGATATCCCGTGTGTAGTCCCTATACAGCTCTACTTTTCAAAGAACCCCCGAACCCTATTCTGATTACCCAGGCCGCGTGACAGGCCTCAGCAACCAACATATGTAGTACACGGTAAGGCACTCGCATTGAGGGACTACAACGGGACAAAATTACGAACCGTTCAGACCGCTATATCAACATGTAGATGTACTGGCTGTCTAATTCGGGCCCGAACCCCGAAACCTACCAAATAGATAGGTATACAGGTATGCCCTTACAGGGGGCTTGATATTATGATTTTAGGTATGTTCCTTCATTATGGGGATGGGGCTCTCCGGGTATGTCTGGCTTGCACCCTGAACCTTAAAGCCCCAAGCCCGGACACCCGAAACTGCAGCCACCAAACCCTCTAAAGCCCTAAAGTCAAAATCCAAAGGCCCAAAGCCCAAACCCTAAAGCCCTGCAGGCAAAATCCAACGGCCCAAATCCGAAGTCCCGGAAAACTCGAAACCCCAAAAAGCCCAGAATCCAAAAGGCTAAACCCTAAACCCTAAACCCTAAACCCCAGAATCCAAAAAGGCTCGGACGACGTTCTGCTTGCTGGAACGGCGCCTCTCCGCCATGGGATCTGGCCCTCGGAATGCGGAGCGACTGGAGGAGGTGCGGAGCTTCCCAGACCTGAGCCGTTCAGGGCTCAGGGTTTTATGTAGGGGCTTCAATAATTACCTATACTATTGTGGGGGTTCTTTATTAGAACTATAGTAATTATAATAGACCCCAAGCCCCTGCATTATATACGATTTCAGGGTTTAGGGACCAGGGTTCAAGGTCTAGGGTTTTGAGGGTTTGGGGTTTTAGACTTAGTGTTTAATGTTGGGGTTTTAATAAGCGTTTAAGGCTTGGGCTTTGGTGAACCCTAAACCCCTAAACCCAAAACTCTAAGCCCTAGACCCAGCACCCAAAACCCTACACCCGCAGATCGCTGAACCTCACCCAAATCCCCAAAATCCGAAACCCAGCAGCCCAAGTTTAGGTTTTAGGGTTTAGAGTTGTCCTGAAAAGCCTTCCGCGGAGTCAGGCTTGGAATGAGATGGCCTCCCTCTGGAGCTGCTCAGCGCAGACTATCAAGCTTTCGGCCAAGCTTTTGGGCTGTTGTAGTTTCAATTTCTACATGTTTTGAGTTATTTTCAACTTTTCGGTCTAGGATTTTTTTTTCGTTCAGGGGCTTCGGGGTTTGGGAGTTTTGTTGGTTCAGGGATCCCTAAACCCCAAAACAAACCCGAAACCCTAGACCCTGAACCCTAAACCGTAAACCCTGGGGGACCGGGGTTAAGGGAGTGCGGCACGAAGCTTTTACTGCTAAAAGCCTGAGCCCGGACTCCTGAACTCCAGCAAGCCCTTGTAGGTAGGGTTTAGGGCTTAGGGTTTAGGTTTTAGGGTTTAGGGTGCTCGTTTCGTACCCCGTATAGTCACCTCTGTATACCCAAGAAGGATGCTGCATGGCATGCATTTAAAAACCATAAGAGTACTGATTAGTACAATACATAATCTAGTTATCCTTTGTAGAACCTTTGTTGTTCGCGAAGCCCGAAATCCGAAGTCCCTGAAATAGAAACCCTACCGAAAGCATCAGGGGACTTGCTTGGCAGTTTTACACGTGTCTATAAATCGCTGTAGCGATGCCCTTTCCAGAACCCTACTTACTGCTAGGTATCCCCATAACACCCTCTCAGTTCCTTCGGAGAAGCCCTTCAAGCCCTTAACAAACCTCTGAAGAGATCCCACGGTTTCGCGTTTAGGGTTTAGGGTAATCCCAATCAAACAATCAGGGACAATCCTGGACTTTTCGAAGCCAAAACGACGCTTAGGTTGGTTTGAGGCCGAGTGGTACCTCGGAGATCAAGACAGGCTGTGGTGTTTAGGCTTTGGGGGCTTTTGGGTGCAGGGTTTGTTTTTTTTTTGGGTTTGGGGCTTAGGATAGTTCAGGGATTTTAGGGTTTGGGGGTTTTGGGTTTAGGGGTTTTGGTTTTGGGTTTGGCGGGTTGGGGTTTTGGAGTCTAGGGGTTTAGGGGTTGAGAGCTGAGGGCTTCAGGGATATTTAGGCGTCAGGTTTCGTCTTCCGCACTGGCAGACGAGGAACCCTTTGCGACCTTATGCTGCGGCACATCTCTATGAGCCCACGACGAAGCTTATCGACCCTGGTCCTGTGGGAGAGTTGGTAAGCGGGCTCACGGCCAGGGTTAGGGTTTAGGGCATTTTGCCGCTAGGCGTCTGTTTCGGGTTTGGGGTGCTCCTACTCAGGGTCTGGGTTCCGTTTGTCGCCTTGTTTTACTTCTTCAGAGTCTAGCGGGCGGGTTTTTGAGGGACAAGTCCATGCAGAGCGGGTGCAAAGCTGGGTCTTCGAGTAGACCCTAAACCCTATTACCCGACTCAATCACCCTGGGGGTGGCGCAGACTTCCCACAGTCGTTACGTGAATCTTTAGAACCCGACGCAGTGGAAGCACACTACGAAATATTCAGCCTTCCGAAATCCTGCAGCAAGCCCCGTGAGCCCGAAAAACGTCGCACGGCCTCTAAGTTATGAAGCCTGATGCTCCGTGTCTGCTTGGTAGGTTTATTTGGCTCCAGATCCATGATTTGGAGCGGTTTTGGAAGCCTTTTCGAGCTTCTAACCTGTAAGCGGCAGGGGTTCATGCAAGATTGATGGCACACCTGACGCCTTGAAGCCCCAAACTCATAAGACACACCTCTTGTGTTTGGCGCGTGTGTGTGTGTGTGTGTGTTTCGGGGATGTTCGTCCCGATTGAAAGCCGAGGAGCAGCTGAAGAGGCGCAGGGGTTGCTTTTAGCTGTCGGTTGCTGCGTGCTGCGTGTTGAATTGTGGGGGTGTTACGGAAAGTTGCACGAGAGATAGACAGGGGGGGTCTTCGCCTTCCGGGTTTCGGGATTTTTGGGCACATAGACGTGGCACACCGCGCGCGCACACTGTATACACACCCTAAAATGGCCCTAAAGCCTACACCCTAAACTCTAAACCCCCAGAATCCTTCAGGCCTTAATCCTGCCCTAAACCTGAAGCCTGGACTCCCGAATTCAACCCAGATGAGATACCGTGCGGCTGTGTATTTTTTATACAGGTCTCTATGGGTAAATCAGCGTTTAGGGTCTTGGCTTTAGGGTTGCACTGTGGGGTCAAAACCCTATTCCCCATAACCTCAAGCCCTTCAAAACCTGACAAGGAAGAGCTAGTTAATTGTAATCCTAGCCTTCACCATGTTGCCGGACCACAGCCAAACCGTGGACTTCCGAAGGCTTTTTGGATCAAAGCCGTCGCGTTTCGACGGCTCTTAGACTTTTGTGCCCACCTGGAGTGGCCGTGCGCACAGACTCCGATGAATCTGGCTTGCAATTCTTCGTCCCCGAAGCCTGACATTCAGGGTTTAAGCTACTTTTGGCCTTAAGCCATCTAAGCCCTCTAAACCTCCCAAACAACCTTGAAGTCCTACCAATCCCTAAAAGGGCTTGCAGGGGTGGCTTGAGCCGGATGTCCGGAGGTGCTTGACCGTTTCCCCATGCGCAAGCTTCTGCATTTTCATGTCCGGACACCAACCCTGGCTTGTACAAGGATGCTATAAGGTTTAGGGTTTAGGGTTTAGGGTTTAGGGATGCTTTCCGGTTTAGGGTTGCGGGTTTATGGTTTGGGTGTTAGGGTTGAGCGCTTCTGGGCTTCAGGGTTTAGGGTTCTGGTAGGGTGCTAGGAGCCATTAGCTTTTCCAGTGCAAAGTCCTCACTAGCCGAAGCCTGTGCCAAGAGTCGCCCTTGCAAACCCACATCCCGAACCGTAGCAGAATCACCCTGAAACCCCAAAAAGCTAGACCCTCACGCCATGGCGGCTCGAGTATGACTACTGCTAGTGTTCCGGGTTCCTCATTACAGCTCATGCTGAAAAGCAACGTCAACACACTCGTCTAGTTAGTAAGGCCGCCCACCCTAAACCCTAAACCCTAAACCCTAAACCCTAAACCCTAAACCCTAAACCCTAAACCCTAAACCCTACGCCCCCCCCATATTACCTCGACCCACCGGAATCTTCGAACCCACCGAAAGCCTGAGCAGAGGAAGTCTGTTCTCACGCCCCTCGTGTGCATCGTGGGCGCCAGAGGCTTCCTCGCTGAAGGCTGGGTGAGGGAGCCAGAAGGCATCCAAGCGCAAAGTTTTGGGTGGGATACCCCTACCTTCTTGGCGTACAAGAGGGGATTATGAGATATCTCAAAACCCAAATCCTCAAGCCCTATATATAACTATAACCCCCCAAAACGCCAAATCCTGAACCCGCGGTTCTGGCTTAGGTGCTTTGCTGGGTCCTACTTGAGCCCCCCCAAAGGGAAACCTCTAAGGTTCCTTTAAGGGGAACCCTTAAGGGCCCCTTTAAGGGCTCCTTTCAAGGGAACTTAGGGATTTAGGGTTTAGGGTTTAGGGTTTAATGGATTTAGGGATTTAGGGATTTAGGGTTTAGGGTTTAGGGTTTAATGGCTCCGTTTAGGGACCCTTTCGCTTCCGAGGGCCAGGCTCTGCGACCGAAGCGCCCGATTGGGCGCCGCGGAGGGCCCAGAGTTTCGGCAGGCGACGTGCCTTGAGGGTTTAGGGCGTCAGGGTTTAGGGTATCAGGAGCTTCAGGGCATTTCAGGGTTTAGGGTTTAAGGGTTTGGGGTATAAGGGGTTTCAGGGTTCAGGGTTTCAGGGTTTAGGGTATAAGGGGTTTTAGGGTAAAGGGTTTAAGGGTTCAGGGCAGGGTTCAGGGTATAAGAGGTTGTAGGGTTTAAGGGTTTAGGGCTAGGGTCTAAGGATTTGGGGCTTTGGGGTTTTGGATTTAAAGAGGTCTGGGGCTTTAGGGGTGGCTTTAGTGGTTTTGGGGCTTAGGGGTCTTGAGGGGTTTGGGGGTGTAAGGGTTTAGGATTCTAGGGCGCGGCTTGAGGGTTTGGGGATTTCGGCTTGTCGTGGTTTAGGCGTTTGAGGGTTTGGGTTTGGGGTTTAGTATTTGGAGTTGGGTTTCGTGAAACTTGCAGGAGGTAGAGCACTAAGCACCATTATCACATAACTACCGCTTCAATAGGATTGGTTTGCTGGGTATGATGGATTTTTTGGTGATGTTAGTTGATTCTGATGTTTGTGGATGTTGAATTTCAGGAGAGGTTGCTGGGGGTTAAGGTCTGCTCGCCTTCGAGCATCAGTAGCGTCCCAGCCTTAACTTCCGCTTTCTCTTCCACGATGCGAAACGATGAACATCAGGAAAGCCGGCGCCAAGTGGTGGGGAAGCCTGAGCCAACGTGTGTCCTTTAGGCACCCGCGACCTGTTCGCTACACCCTCGCATTCAGCATGCTGGCATCGTTTACATCTGGGCTCCAAGCTACTATATCGGCGCTCCTGTGAGGAGTAAACACGCGCAAGCACTCGGAACCGAAACAATGACGCCGAAAGAGCAATGTAAAGCATACTAGCCCGTTCGACTTTAAGACACAGCATCTTTCGGCATGTGATCCATATATTCTTGGCTGGACAATCCAGTGCGGGATTGTTGTTACCACTGTCAGGGCTTAGGACAACTGTCGAGCCAAAACTACAAGCCAACACACACACACACACATTCAAGTATACTGGCATCCTGTACATATGTATGTATATGTATATGTATATGTATGTGTATATGTATATGTATATGTATACATATAACAATATGTACGCATACACATACAAACTATAGTACGAAACACATACATGCACACACCAGTGTGTGTACACAACTGTATATGCCTTTATGCCAGCAGAAAATTCTTCGTTTCAGAAGGCTTGCGATTGGAAGCAGGTGGGGAAGTAAACAGAAGCAGAGTGCAAACTTGCCAGCGCTGTCTGGGGCAAGTGTGCAGCATGGTTGTTATCTGTCGAAGCTGCTTGTCACTGTGTCCACTTGCGACATTGCCATTGTCAGGTCCATTTCCCTAGGGCAGGGTTCTAAGTATGAAGGCCCCTATATTACCATGTGGCCGTGCCAAGACAGGCCGAGCACGCTAAGAGCATTCCTTTCCGCTGTATTGTGCCTGGATCAGTGGAAAGACGCTCGAATATCCCCTAAACCCTAAACCCTACTGTGCTCGAGCTCCCAATCCCTAGGTGCCATGTAAACCCCCAACATCCCGCAAGCCTTAAAGCCCTAAGCCCTACAACCCTGAAGCCTTAAAGCCTCACGCCCTGAGCCCTGTAATATAGGGGCTTTAATAATTACCTATAATATTTTGGGGGTTCTTTGTTATAATCAGTGTTTAAAAAAACTCAAAACCCTGTTCTAGTTATTAAGGCCCCTGCATTATGGCTTCTTCTTGCTTGTCTAGAGTGAAACGCGGCCAGGATGCCATGCCTTTGGCTTCATGGAGATGGCCAAGGCTGACTCATCATCGTCGTCATCGGCAGCGTCATCGTCAACATCATCGTCATCTTCGTCGTGGAATCAGACTCATCATCGCCGTCATCATGATCATGATCATCATCATCAGCATCGCAGTCATCGCAACTATCGTCATTGTATATCACTATCATCGTCGTCGTAGTTTTCATTGCCTTTGTCGTCTCACCCTTATCAGGGCACAACTTCTCATCGTCATTCTCCTGGCCTCATCCCAAAGCCGGATCATCATGAGCTGTCGGGCCCGCTGGTGTTCGTAAGTGCTGACGTTGACCTGTCGTTCTCAAGAGTGCCATTCATAATTCGACATCCCTTAGGACGCATCCTAATCCTTGCACAGTGGCACCGTGCTACAACTTTAGAATCGTAGTGTAAGCCAATGCATCGTGGTGTCCCTGAACCCAAAGCCATGCGCTTAGTCCTTATGTTCCCAGGCTGGCCACTCTGTCATGCAGCAGCCTCTGCATTGACAGTTGCAGCCGTGACCTTGTCGTTTCGGAGATACCGACGGCAGGTGGGGGGGTTCTCAGATGCTCTCTGAGAAAGGGCTAGGCCCACGTGGAATATTTGTTGACACGTCCTGCGTCGAATGTTAGCAGCGCTTTTCGGATGTTATTCGAATGTTATCACTATCTGGAACCACAATGCTCAACCGGTTCAAGCCTTTTCGAAGTCCACGGCGGTCGCAGGTTGGGCTAAATTTGCCCTGGGTTTTAACAGGATGGACCCCGAAACG